CCCTGGAGCTGTGAATTAGAAACACAGGTGTAGGGTCTTACTCTGGATAATGAAAGAGCTGATGAGCAGTGTTGAGAGCCAGGTGAAATTGCGGATGTATCTTTCCAGTGGCATTCACGCACAGTTGTAACAGTGTAACAGTCCCTTCTAAGAGTGGAGAAGGCAGTTCTGGTATTGAGGAGTTGAGGATTGAGGTCTTCAGACAACATGGTAGCTAGGCATTAAGTGATTAATTCAGTAATTGTCTACGTAGCAAATAGGCAAGTTAGACCGGGAGTGAATTATAAGCCTAAGGAATATGAGAGGAAAAGCACCCGGAATTTATAATGAGGTCTTAAGGAACACATATAGTATGAGGGTGTGAGAGTGCTGGAAGGGCAGGATCCAGAGAGTGAGGGAGGCACTGTAGCAATATTTTGGCATGTAATGGCAGAGCTCAGGTTGTGGCAGGGTAGCAGGGAAGCTTGTTGGGGATGAGGAGATCGTAGAGCTGTGAGATTTCTAACCTTCTCCTCCTGGTGCTTGAAATCTACCAAGATGGGGGCGCCTGGGTGGCGCAGTCGGTTAGGCGTCCGACTTCAGCCAGGTCACGATCTCGCGGTCCGTGAGTTCGAGCCCCGCGTCAGGCTCTGGGCTGATGGCTCAGAGCCTGGAGCCCGTTTCCGATTCTGTGTCTCCCTCTCTCTCTGCCCCCCCCCCCCCCCGTTCATGCTCTGTCTCTCTCTGTCCCAAAAATAAATAAACATTGAAAAAAAAAATTTGAAATCTACCAAGATGATGACAGAGGTTGAGTTTGAGATGTGGCTACAGATCCTTGTATAGGTTTAAAGCCAGGAGTCAAATTTCAGTGAAATTGGCAGAGTAGCTAGGAAGTCAGTTGAAGTTACAGTTAGTAATTAAAAAGCTGGATATTATCAGTTTCAAAATGGTGCACTTTTTTTTGCATGAGGGTAAAAGATTGATAGGTAGCAACGATTAATGAGCAATCTTTAGAATGTTTCTTTATTTTTGAGACAGAGAGAGAGAGAGAGAGAGCGAGCAGGGGCAGAGAGAGAGGGAGACACAGAATCAAAGCCCGCTCCAGGCTCTGAGCTGTCAGCACAGAGCCCGAGGCGGGGCTTGAACTTACGGACCTCGAGATCATGACCTGAGCCGAAGTCAGATGCTTAACAAACTGAGCCACCCAGGTGCCTCTAACAATCTTTATTTTGACCTTTTAGCACTATTTTTCATTCTTTAAAGTCCTGCTGTATTTTTCCACTGTGCAGCATTAACCCTATTGGAATAGTATAGTTTCCAAATTTTACCTCCTTTTTACACTCATAGAATTAAAAGAAGCACTGTCATCTCATTGCAGGCAGTGGGTGACCCAGATCTTCTAGGTTGAGAAAATAAAACCTAAAAGGAGAAAGAAGAGGACAACATCTTTTATATAAAATGGCTTAATTCCTCTTCTCCCACACCTTAATAAACATTTGTTTAATGTGAATCAGAACTTATAGCACTTTATGTTTATTTATTTTGAGAGAGCGAGCGAGAGTGGGGGAGGGACAGAGAGAGAGGGAGACAGAGGATCTGAAGTGGTCTCTGTGCTGACAGCAGAGAGCCTGATGCAGGTCTTGGACCATGAGCTCATGACCTGAATCGAAGTTGGACGCTTCACCAACTGAACCACCCAGGCACCCTTGGAGCACTTTCTACTGGAGCATTTGCTTTGTATAAGCAAAAGTAGCTTTACTGATTTTGCTGTAAGAGTGATGCGGTTCGCCTCTGTTGTCAGTGTAGTGTGATTGTGTACATGAATGTTCAACATCCTTCCTTTTGCACAGAGTGATTTTGGAAGGAAAATAATTTTCACAGCACTAAAAGAGGCTGAGTTTGATATACAAAAGGAGTTACCATAATGACTATCTTCTCATGTCCTCAAAATGGTACTCCTGCCCCCTTTTCCACCCCCGTATTGTCCAGGATGTGCTGAGTTTTGTTGCTACTTTGGAAAATGCAGAGGGGAAGAGAAGCTAGATATTTTTGGAGGAGGAATAAAACTTATCTGAATATTCTTCAAATTATTTTTATTGTAGTCTTTCACACTTATTGTCCTTTAAATTTCTTAAAGCATATGTTGTTTTATAAGATATATATATATATATGTCCACGATATATTACACTTGGAGTATTATCTAGTTTAGTGGCTAAAAAAATAGAAAATCAGTGATTTCTTAGCAGCTAAAGATTATTATTTTAAACTTTCATTCATTTAGTCAATTTATGGAGAATGTAATATGTCCCAAGCACTGTTGATTACTGTATGTTTTGTGTCACTTTCTAATACAGCTTTATACTGTCAGTTATTTTCAAAAGACATTTGGAAAACAAAAACTGTAAATATTGACTGATTTACTGTTTCTGACATTCATCATTCCATCTGAAGATTTGAGTTTCTATTTAGTATCATTTTCATTTTGCTTGAAGAACTTTTTCAATATTTCTTTTAGTATGCGTCTGCTGGCATTGATTCTTTCAGATTTTTTTGTCAGAAAATACACTTTCATTTTTTAAAAAAAATTTTTAATGTTTATTTTTTGAGAGAGAGAGAGGGAGAGAGACAGCATGAATGGGGGAGGAGCAGAGAGAGAGGGAGACACAGAATCTGAAGCAGGCTCCAGGCTCAGCACAGAGCCTGACTCAGGGCTTGAACTCATAGACTGTGAGATCATGACCTGAGCTAACTTTGTTTCTGATGATGTCAGTGAATAGTTTTGTTTTGTTTTTTGTTTTTTGTTTTTTTTTTTTTGAGAGAGAATGCCAGCATGAACAGGGAAGGGGCAGAGGGAGAGGGACAGAGAGAATCTTAAGCAGGCTCCACATCCAGCACAAGGGTTTGGTCTCACTATCATGAGATCATGACCTAAGCCAAAATGAAGAGTTGGATGTATAACTGACTGAGCCACCCAGGTACTACTGTTAATGAATATTTCTAATATCTGTTCCCTTGTTTATGTTTTTTACTGTTTCCTCTGGTTCTATTAAGATTTTCTCTTTGGGGAACCTGGTTGGCTCAGTAGGTGGAGTATGTGACTCAATCTCAGGGTTGTAAGTTCGCGCTCCACATTGGGTATGGAGATTACTTAAAAATAAAATCTTAAAGAAAAAAAAAGATTTTCTCTTTATCACTGGTTTTGAGTGACTGATATGATATGCCTTGGTATGGTTTTCTTTGTATTCATCTTACCTAGGATTTGTTTAGCTCCCTGGATCGATATAGATTTTACCAAATATGAAAAGTTTTCAGTCTTATTTCTCCAAGTGACTTTTCTTCCCCTTCCTTCTGGGACACCAATTGTACATATGCTAGCATGCTAGATACTGTTCTACAGCTCACTGAAGCTCTGGTTATTTTTTTCCCTTCCCAACTATTTTCCTTTCACTCTCCTCCATTTTCACTGATTGCTGATGCTATGTCTTCAAGACAGTGGATCTTTTCTTCTACAAATAAGCCCATTCATGTAATTTTTCATTTCAGATATTGTGTTTTTTTTTTTTTTTTTTTTTTTTTTTTTTTTTTTTTTTTTTTTTTGCTTTAGAATTCCTATTTGGTTTATTTTTGTATTTTTATTGATTTTTTATTATACTCATTTTCCTTGAAATCTTTTAGCATATTTATAATATCATTTTAAAGGTCTTTGTCTGCCAATTCTATCTTTTGTAGCATTTCTGAGACTCTATTAACTGATTTTTCTCCTGGTTATGTTTGTGTCTTTTTTGTGTAGCGATTTTTGACTGCATGCTATGAATGTTATGTTGTTGAATGTGTGTGTGTTTATTAAAATTTTCCTTTGAAATGTGTTGAGTTTTATTTTAGCAAACAGTTCAGTTACTTGTGGATCAGCTTGGTCATTTCGGTATTCATTTTTAAGCTTTATTTGCATCCGTGTAGGGTAGTCTTTACTTTTGAGCTAATTTAACACTCCTAGTAAGGCATGGCCTTTCTGAATTCTCCACTGAAAGTCCTAGATGTTCAGTGAGGCTACTTTGAACTCCCTTCTCTCCCAGCCCTATGTGAAGTCTGGGACTTGCTCAGCTTCCAGCTCCCTGGCACTTGTTCTTCACCTGGCCTCGTGAAGTCTCCTCCTAGACACGGACAGCTTGCTGTTTGACCAAAGACTCAAAGAGACACTGTGCAGATTTCTAGAGTTCTCTATCTGCATACTTCTCTCCTTGGGGGATCTCTCCTCACAAATTCCAGCTTCCTCAGTCTCCCCAAACTCTGATCTCTGTCTCCTCAACTCAGTGAGAATGCCATATTTCACTTGTATTTCTCTTCCTTATCTCACAGTCTGTATAGTATATGTGTACGGTGTGTGTGTGTGTGTGTGTGTGTGTGTGTGTGTAGTATTGTATGTTTGTGGTATATATTACATCGTAGAGTATATAGTATATGTATCGTACCTTTAGACAAAAATCTGGAGTGGCCTGAGGGCTCACTTCATGTGTTTTTCTTCTCTCGGGTCACTGTCTTTCCCTGCCTGCTGTATGGTATCTGAAAATAGTTGTATCATGTAATTGTATGTGTTATGTAGACGTTTACAGGAGGAGGGCAAGTCCATTGTGGCTGGAAGCCGAAGTCCCTGCTAATATAGTTGTGATTCTAATTTATTCTTACTTAAGCGGGTGCTTGGTTAATGGAAATCCCATCCAGCTGACTATGCAGGGGGTTATATAAGGCCATGCCTCTGAGGTTTGGGCCTCGATATTGACGCACCCGGTATAGAATGTCGAGTAAACACAGACTAGGCTGCCTTGATGGACAGCAAGATTACTAGCAAGATGTAGCAGTTTTAGAGATTACTCTTTCATTAATTTAGGGCTACTGAAGTTTTACAAAATGTTACATTTTTGTTATATCCTCTTGAATCAGATCCCATTCTTATAAACCATGCTTTCCTGACGTGCATAGATTTGGCCATATTGTTAATTACTATATCCTTTTCCAATTTCAGGAGCAGCATTTCTTGCTATTACAACCATCTATGCTGAAAGTGGGTCGGGTTTTGTAGTACCAAGTGCTTCTGCCAAAGCGGGTGTAGAGGCCATGAACAAGTGAGTACTCCTATGTTAATCCCATCACTGAAGATAAACCGTGTACTTTGGTAGTTCATGGAGCTAAATTTCTTCATTCTAGTCTCCATCCAGAGAAAAGTAAACAAAGATTAATTTGGATTTACTTGAAAACATACTTTCTGTTTCTTGGATGAGTCCTATTTGTCAAGGTCAGCACTGCCCGATAGAACTTTCTGCGGCAATGGAAACGTTTTATAACTCGGCACTATCCAACAGCCACATATGAACCTTTGAATTGTGGCTACAGTGACTAAGAACCTAAATTTTATTTAATTTTAATTACTTTAAAATGAAAATTAAGATTAGATAGCTACATGTAGCTAGTGGCTATCATATTAGATAGCACAGGAGTACAGCCTTTTTGTTCTCCCATATACCTTTATCTTTAGTCTGTTTCTGACCTCTATTAAAAACACCTTCATCCTTTTATTGTACCTGCTGTGTGAGATTCATAGGACTAACATAAACCAGTCACCACTGCCAGATCTTGTGGCCTTTCCTCAGCAGCATATGATAGCTCTTTGAATCTGTTCCCCATCAACCTTTGCCACTGTTTTTGTGGTAATGTCAGTTGTCATCATGGCTTACTGTAATAGCCCTCTAATGTGTTTCTCTGCTACCAGTCTTTTCCCTCTTTATTTTTTATGCATATTCCCACCAGAATCATCTCTCTAAAAATACAGGTATGCCTATGATACTCCCTAGCTAAAATCTTAGATCATTTTTCCATGACTCTTTAGAGTAAAAGCCAAAACTCACTATGGCATTCTAAATAAACTGGTCCCTGACCTTTGTTTATTCACTGACTAATTGGATAAATATTTATTTTGTGCCTTTTGTGTGCCTGACACTATGCTGGGTACCAGCGATACGATACGATAGTGGTAGAAGTAGAATCGTCCTCACCCCCACCTGAGTGTATAGTCTTATGCCATTTTTCTTGTGTTTTAATTTCCATTGAACTGTTCTGTATTTCCTTAAATATGCCGTGCATTTTCATCTCTCTGTGCTTGGGCTATGCTGCTGTTGGAATTTGCTGTGATATTTTCCCTACTTTCAAGGCTGTCATCATATCACTTCCTCTGTGATGTTTTCTCTCATTTCTTTAGAACAGAATGAATTATTCTCTACTCTGTGCACCCTTAAAACTTTATTTTTGTCTAGTGAGAAGACTAACACACCAATAAATAAATGCTACCCATTGTTATAGATTCTAAAATGAAGGTAGTGTACCAATGAGGGGCACAGGGAAGGACACGCAAGACTCCTTTTTAACATCCTGTCCAAGCTGTCTGACTTCCCCACTAGAATGTGAGTTCTGTGAGGGAGAAGCCTTATTCATCTCTATATACTTATTTCTTGGCAAGGTCTGATGTGTAGCTCTTGCTCCTTGCTGGCTGAACTGCACAATTATTCTCTTTCCCAAGTAGTCTCAAAATTCTTTTTAACGTTTAAATCAGTAACATATATTTATTTGAGATACAAAGACATAGTACTATACTTACAAGTCGAGTCTTAGTGTGAATAGAGATAATTACCTTTTTTTTAAGGTCAGATGGTATTAGAAATAAGGAATTAGAACTTGACTATTTTGGCATCATTTGTATAGTATCACTATTTGTCTTGGGTGCCTGGGTGGCTCAGTCGGTTAAGTGTCCAACTTCTCTTGATTTCGTTCGGCTCAGGTCATCAACTCATTCGGGAGATGGAGCCCTCCATCGGGCTCCGTGCTGAGCATGGAGCCTGCTTAAGATTCTCTCTCTGTCCCTCTCTCCATGCCCCCCACCCCCATCACGTGTGCGTGCTCTCTCAAAAAATATTTTCGTCTTGTTAGGACCTTTGATCTTGTTAGAAGTTTCAGTTTCATGTCCTTTGAGGTCTATGATTCTGTGCTGCTTGTTCTTTTGTTTTGTTTTGTTTTATTACTGCATAGTGTATTGCATGAAATAGATACTCAGTGAATGTGTACTTCCTCTCCAGCCTGCATTCCCATCAGTTCTCTTCTCATACTTTATGGTACATGGTCCTACTGAATAAGGCCTTATAAGTCCCCAAATACTGCATGTTGTTTGTGCCTTTGTCCTTCACTCATTCTGGCCCATATGCCTGGGCTATCTTTTGTTTTCCATCCTATGCTCTGGTATCTCCCATCCTGTTTTCCTCCCCCTTGCCTCTCACCATAAACTCCTCCTCCTTCAAGTGTTAACTCAAATATCACCTCCTCCAGGAAGCCTTCCTTCTCACTCTCAGTAGACTGAAGTACTTCTTCCTTTAAGCAGTCATGGCACACCTTACATAATTCCCAGAAGAGTAACTACTTTGTGATATAACTGAGCTGGCTTCTTTTGAGAGAATAAGACTGCTCTCTTGAGAGCAGGTACTGCCTTTCTTTGAGGGTAAGTAACACTTATAAAGTGTTATCAGCTCACAGTAAGTACACGATAAACATCTGTTGATTTAACAACAATAATGGCTAACATATAATGAGTATATTATACTTAGCATCTAGTCACGCAAAATGAGCTAATGAGGTGGATTTCTTATCATGTTATCAGAATATAAACTAGTTTAGTGAGAGTTAGGACTGGAAAAAGTGTATCTGTTGCACCTCTCAGCAGAGATTGGATAGCTTTTCCTCTAGGCATGTTTCCTTAATAGGTTGCTCAGTTTTTCACAGGAAGCCATAAACTCTGCTTGGCTCGGTAATTCTGTTAGGACATGAAGTTACTACTTTCCTAGCAATTTGGAGCAGATGCACTACAAGTACATGCCAAGGGTAGGTATGGTCATGAATTCTGTCAAAAGTATCACTCAGGGAAGCAATCTTTATGTATGATTTGCCCCATAGAGATGCAATCCACCCATTCTCTAAAATGCACCCATGGATTAAGACAGATTAACAGACTGTGTTTGGAGCACCTGCCCTCCCACCCCCACCCCAATAGAATGAATTTTGCTGAATTGCTGTTTGTGGGTTTTTTTTTTTTTTAATGTTTATTTATTCATTTTGAGAGACAGAGAGAGCACACATAGGAGGGGCAGAGACAGGCAGAGACAGAATCCTAAGCAGGCTCCATACGCTATCAGCCCAGAACCTGTCTTAGGGCTCAATCTCATGAATGGAACCATGAAATCATGACCTGAGCCAAAATCAAGAGTGAGAGCCTTAACCAACTGAGCCACCCAGGCACCCTCTGATTTGGCCTTTGAATTGATCTTGTTGGGTCATGTTAATTGATTTCTTGTAGTTCCATAAGACTTATCTCTTTGTATCTATTGCAAGTACGCAGTATTGTATTATTACATTACACAATTTTCATTTTAGAAGTCTTCTTGAAAGAAGTGTTTTTCTGATCTTTTTTTTTTTTTTTTTTTTTTTTTTTTTAATCAGGAACAGTTGTGCTTTTCCTGAGATATTAGCTTGCTTTTTCCTTATGGGCACTGCAAAGTGTGTAACTGATTAGGTTTCATTTTTGCATAGTGTCATGGAAAGAATGGATGCAAATTTGTGACCCACGTATTGTGATTATATGGAATGCCATAGAACATTTAGGTATTAGCTCCATTCTTGGTTCCTTTGTGTTTCCTTATCCTTTTTTTATCTTCGTTCCTTCTTTCCTGCCTTCCTTCTTCTCTCTATTTCTTTCCTTCAAATGATTTTATCTTCCTTATTTGCATTATTTATATATTTTTCAATGGTTACCCTAAGTCATTTTTTAAAACTAGATTAAGTATATATAGACACAAATGTACATATGAATATAAATTCCAAAAATGAGACAATAAAAGTTAAGACCTGTCTATCAAGTAGGGTTTTAAAACAGATTGCTTCAAGTTTCCATGTTTTCTATTATTGTTATATTTTGTGTCATACCATTTAGTAAGATTTTGTTAGGTTCCTATTTCCTTTTGAGTGCAGTTCAACAATTATATTAAAGCCTCATTAAACATGGATATAGATAGTATTTTATATCTTTGTAATTCATCTCTTACTTAAAAGCACTTGTGATGCTGTAAACATTGTAATCCAATGGGCTATATATAAGTCAAGCTATTTTGGACTTTGTACATGTAGGACTGAACTCCAGAAGATGTGGGGGAGGGCATGATTCTCTCACTCTTCATGCTAAATTGTGATACTTACTCTAATAATGTATTTTGATATTGGACTTGGTTTGGCAGTGTAAATGGTGGGTGGTAGAGCATAGTGATTATGGAAGGACACTAAAATGTAAATGTGGTAGGGTCCCCTCCCTAAGGAAAGAAAAGAAAAAAAAAAACCTCAAGGCAATCCGGTTGTATACGCATACATGACAACATCCTTCATGACCTTGTAACATGGGACACTTAATCAGACTACATGTCTGTATGTTACCATATGTGGGAGACAAAGAAGTAAAAAGTATGTAAAAAACTATGCCACGTGGTGTTCGGGGCTCAGTTCTTCAGAAATGAACCCAACTGAGCGATGCTGGCACAAATAAAGTTGCTTCCTGGAAAGAAAAGCCTTGGCGTTAGGACTCTGTGTGAGAATCCTGCTACATAAATAGTAGATATTAAAACAGAGTGATTAAAGGTACAAATTCTGGAGCTAGACCACTTAAAGTTGATTTACGGGCTGTGTGACCCAGAGCAAGTGATTTAACCTCTCTGTGCCTCAGTTTCCTTGTCTATAATATGGGGAATAATAATAGTACGTACTTCGGGGTTGTAGTCCCTGGCATGTAGTGAGCATGCAGTGAGTCTTGGTTGTTAGCATTTTTAGCATATAGTGTAATATTTCAGAATCTATGTTTTTTAATTTTTAGGTCTCTTGCAGCTGAATGGGGTAGATATGGACTACGATTCAATGTGATTCAACCGGGGCCTATAAAAACGAAAGTAAGGTTTAGTTTGCCTAGTATCTCATTGTGAATGATTAAGGAATGAAATATTGGTAGAAATATTCTGATTGTTGTGTGCAGGACTTGTCAGAGATGTCTGAGCTTGGAGCCCTAGTGGTAGAGAAGAGGGTTTTGCCATTATCCACTATAAGTTAGGAGGTGGACAGGAATACAGCAGCTATATAATTTCTTGATAAGATCTATTTCAGTGTCGTAATCTTCTGGGATCTTTTGTGCCATCAATTTTGGTATTTTGTCTGATTTGCGTCAGTGATCTGTTATTACCCTATATTTCTTAATCCTCACCGTATTTTAAGGATTCTTTCTTTGATTGACATCCTTTTTTTTTTTAGTTCCTGGAAATGGAAGTATATTTTTATTTTAAGAGATGTTCTAGAAGGTTCTCTGCTCTTGCGATAGGTAGCGTTTTCTTTGCTCACGTCTCTGCCTTTCACTTTCAGACACTCAATTATGCATGCCATTTGACTCCCATGTCTCTGATTACAAATCTTTCTGATGGTGTGCATTTCACCTATAATTAATAATCATTACAGATACTTACTGCAACTTATAATGATCACTAGTGCTGTTACGGTTGCTACTCAGAATGTCCACAGGTTCTGTGTTCTCTCACATTGCCCCAGATAACTTCCCTCTCACTTTCTGTTTTCATGTGAAGCAAGAATTTACAACACTAATTGGCATATAGCTCTGAAGGCCTCAGTGGAGTGTGATCACTTGTTCTAGTTGTATCAATAAATACTTTAGAAAATAATGCTAGGGAGCATTTGGATTGTAGGTAGTTCTGGGTATTAAATATCAACGAGGAAATGGCTGTATTAGTTTCTTTAGCAGCTTGAAGGGGGGGAAATGGAAAGGAGTGACTGAAACTTGGCTATCTTATTTGACACTTCAATAATAAAGAGTCTAATACAATTAATGGAAAAATAACTCAAAAGCCTGTATTAACACACGTGATTCAGGGCAGCACTGTGCTGAGCGCTATCCGAAGAAAACCCTGGAGTCACAGAGCTTCTTTTTAAGCCGTCACTAACTGGGAAAGATCACCTGCATTTCATTTACTTATTTAACATATATTGAGTGTCTGCTGTATGCAAAGGTGCTGAGAAAATACAAAAACATTTGTGCCAGAGTCCTTGCTGTCAAGGAGCTTGCAGCGTAGCAGTAGAGGTATAAGTTGTACACAGATAACACGCATGTAGCTTTAAAGAGTTTAAAAGAAAATTGAAGTCTAGAAACTCTGAAGCAAGCACTGGTAGAGCCAGGTAGCCCGTTGCTACCCTTTGTCTCCACCGGTTGATTCGTGCGCAGGGAGAGCTGGAGGACCCCCCAAGGAGCCTCCCGAGGGCTTGCTCTGTCTCATACCTGTTTTATTGAAGACAGCTGTCACCTCAGCTCCCAGGCGTTGATACAGAGAAACCCAGTCTTTTATGTATTTATTTTTTGATCCGTGCACATACGTACTTCACCTTGGTCCGCACCTTCATATCATTAACAGAAGGCAGACATTGTTTGGCAAATTTAGTTTTTTGGTTTTTTTTTTTTCTTTAAGACCTACTTGAATTTAGTATTCCTCCCTACTTGTTTTCCTCCTTTCCGATTATTTTGAGAAGAAAGGAGGAGAAAAGGAATTTCCCCTGAAAGGTTTCCTACTTGAGGTACTTTTCTGATTTCTAAATCAAATGACAATATCACTACTACGTCCAGCACACTGGGCTTGTAGGTATTTCCGAGTACTTTCATATACCTTTTCTCCTTTGATGCTTATAACAGTCTTGTGAGGTGGCTAATGACAGGTATCCTTATTTTATGGATGAAGAAAACAAAGGTAAAAAGGTCGTATTTTCTGGTAATTTTTTTTTATGTCAGTATAAGATAAAATGTCCTGTTTTGAGCTAAAATGAATATGGAAGAATTTGGCAATCTCCTCTGTTGTTTACAAGGCCTAAGGTATGAACAGGCTGCCATAGTAATATTCCATTTCTTACAAACTTGTTTCTTAGATAGGAAAGGAGTTGTGTTAACAAAAAACGCGACCTAACTATTTTCTTAATATCTAAGGGTGCCTTTAGCCGTCTTGACCCAACTGGAGAATTTGAGAAAGAAATGATTGACAGAATCCCCTGTGGTCGGCTGGGAACTACAGAAGAACTTGCAAATCTTGCTGCTTTTCTTTGTAGTGACTATGCTTCCTGGATTAATGGGGCAGTAAGCATTGTTTCTCTTAACTTTTGGGGGTTGTGGATTTGGGGTGGAAAGGCGTGTTGTGGAACGAGTCCTGACAATATTGAATATAAATATGATTTAAAATATTTATTTAGCTGCAAACAATATAAAATGTTAATGTAGATTGTTTAGCCTATGGAATTTCTTCATGGATAAATTAATTTTATTAAATGCAAATTACCTTGGAAGACATGCCTTTAAGATGATTTTTAATATCGGGTAGAATTTGAAATTGTGGAGATGGGGGGAAAAAGGATTCTAAAATGAGTTAATCAGATTAGGTTTAATCATCACTTTTGTCTTCAGAATTTGGGCTTTGATTGAAAGTGCCGAGGAGATGTTCCATCCAATCAAGATGAGAGAATGTCTAATGGTTCAGAACCGTTTTAAAAGGCGTTAGTTTCAGAATTTTTGCTTTTTTTTTTTTTTTTTTTTTTTTTTTTTTTTTTTTCCTTCAGGTCATTAGATTTGATGGTGGAGAGGAAGCATTTATTTCAGGGGAATTCAACAGTCTGAGGAAGGTAATGCCGTTTTGTGAATATAATATAATATTAGCAGCTAAGATACTAAGCTTTAAAAATATGCAAGAACCACATTAAGTTGGCTTTCTGTTTGTGTTAGGTCACTAAGGAGCAGTGGGACACAATAGAAGGACTCATCAGGAAGACAAAAGGCTCCTAAGATCACTCTGGCCTTCATCTTGGTTACAGTGGAAATGATACAGTCTATGATCTTTTGAATATTTTCAAGTCTAATAAATTGTTAACGAACAAACACGGCCTGGGTGTGTATCGTGCTGGGCCAGCTGTAGGTACACATTTTATATTTAAAGATCTATAAGATGGGAAATTATCCCTTCAAAAGTTTTTTTAAAAATAAAAAAGGCTAGTGAGTAAAGGCTTTGGTGGAGGTAAAATGCTTGGAAATGCAGAGAAGGAAACAGATATTATAACTTGAAAAAGTCAGGAGAATCTTAATGGTCAAAGTAGCATTTGAGTTACATATTAAACCATGCCTATGGGGATGGGGCCTAAAAAAACAAAAGTAGAGGGTATAAAGTAGATTTAATGGACTCTGCCTTTTCATTATATTTCCTTTTTTTAAATGTTTATTTGTTTATTTTTGAAAGAGAGAGCGTGCATGCTAGCGGGAAGAGGGGCAGAGAGAGAGCAAGAGAGACAGTCCCAAGCAGGCTCCACGCTCAGCACGGAGCCCCACCTGGGGCTTGATCTCATGACCCTGAGATCATGACCTGAGCTGAAATCAAGAGTCAGATGCTTAACCAACTGAGACACCCAGGCACCCCTCCATTATATTTCCTTTTCACTGGACTTGTGAATTATCTTCTTTAGATAGCTCAATATTAATTCAAAGAAAATTTTACCGGGACCTATTTTATAGCCTGGCATTTTATATGGTACTGAGTATACAACATGAACAATCTACAGCCTTGCCTTCTTGAAATATTATCTAGCAGGATAGAGAGACCTATAAATAATTATTTTTGATGCATTGTGATAATTACTATTCCAGCAGTGTTGAAGTGTGGAAGAGGAAGTAATTCATTCTGACTCTAGAGTTTAGAGAAAGTGACACCTAGGAAATAGTATTCCATCTCAGCTTTAAAAGAAGAGTAGATTTCTCTAGGTAGAGAAGATGAACAAGCTTATAAAATATTTTTGTGTGTAATTTCATTTCATTTCATATTGGGTTTGACTAATTTGTCATCCTGAGGATCAAGTAATAAAGCCATCTAGTCTATGTAGCTATAATTTTGAGCTTATATTAAAAAAAAGGTCTGTTTGGCTGTCACAGGCATCTCTCATAAACATGTTCACTGGACTATCCCCATTGCCCAAATTACCAAGAGAGGGGACCAACTTCCATCACACCTCCTCTGAACAGATCTGCAAAGGAATCTAGTGTTCCTGTTTGAATATCTATGTTGTAAGCCCCACACGGACACTCTTACTATGTTCACAGTTAATTGTGCATATAAATTATATTAAATTGTGTACATAAATGGGTAATGTTATAGTTTTGGAATAAGTGGCCTTGACATTCTCAATTATACTGGGCCTTTTAGGATGTCACATGTCTTCACGCTCTCACAATGCAGGTACCCAGTTTGCGTTTTACCTTTAATGCTAACCCTCATTTTCCTCTTGTCTGCCTACATCTTTGTTTTCAAATTATCAGTACCTCTTATGGTGTAGGAAAAAATAAAAAGGTGCCAGTAGTTATATAAATGAACTTGTATAAGTTTCATCACTTCTTCTTTCCCTTGTTATAAAGTTCAGGATTATAATACCTGTTTGGCGGGGTTCTTATGAGGATCAAGTGAAAGAAAATACTGTAAAATGTAAAATAAACAAATGAATGGTGGGCCCTCCTGTCATTTGACCCTTTCATTTTTAAGACTTGTTTATCGTAGAAAACATGAGAATACAAACGAATAGGAAGCATTAAAAACTAACTTTTGGGGCGCCTGGGTGGCGCAGTCGGTTAAGCGTCCGACTTCAGCCAGGTCACGATCTCGCGGTCCGTGAGTTCGAGCCCCGCGTCGGGCTCTGGGCTGATGGCTCAGAGCCTGGAGCCTGTTTCCGATTCTGTGTCTCCCTCTCTCTCTGCCCCTCCCCCGTTCATGCTCTGTCTCTCTCTGTCCCAAAAATAAATAAACGTTGAAAAAAAACAAAAAACAAAAAACAAAAAAACTAACTTTCTAGGGGCGCCTGAGTGGCTCAGTCGGTTAAGCGTCAGACTTTGGCTCGGGTCATGATCTCACGGTTTGTGAGTTCCGGCCCCTGTCGGGCTCTGGGCTGACATCTCAGAGCCTGGAGTCCGCCTCAGATTATGTGTCTCTCTTTGTCCGCCCCTCCACTGCTTGCAATCTGTCTCTTGCATTGTCTCAAAAATGAATAAACATTAAAAAAAAAAAAATTAAAAAAAAACTAACTTTCTAAAGAAAATACCTGTTAATACTTTGGTATATTTGTTTTTGGTCTTTTGCCTTTTAATTTAATTTTATATTTTATGGAAGTAATTTGTTTATATAATTTGCACAGAAAGAGAACTACCACAGTCCATAGTAAGCTCCTCAGCTTTTTAAACTTTTTTTCCTGTAATATACACTCTTTCCCTCCACTAAATCTACCAAGAAAACCATATTTCTAATTTTGCTTAAATTAGTATTCAGTGTTTACATTTTGTATAACTTCATAACTATCGTTTTTTTCCAGTGTTTTTTCAACTTTCCTCTTTTTTTTTTAATAGTTGAGAGTGTATGATAGATCAGATACTGTTTTTTTAAACAAATCTGATTTTTTTGTATTTCATGGTTTATATATATCATACTTGATTTGATTCTTTATTCTCAGAATTGGTTATTTTTATTTCCAGTATAGTATAGAAAACTATGATGAGCATCTTTGTGCATGAAAAACCTTTCAGAATTTGGAATTTTTTCCTCCTGACAGATTTCTGGAAGTCATATTATTAATCAAAGGTTATGGAGCTTTTAAAGACCCTGGATACACATTTTAAAATTGTTATTCCTAAGATTTGTATGGGTTAAGAGCACCCTGAGCTGTGTGTGATTGTGCCAGTTTCCACAAGCACCTGCCAACATGCGGTGGTCTGATTTTCAAACTATTTCCTCATTTCATAAGTAAAGGATAAAGCTTCTCTTCAAGTATGTGTTTATTTGTTAGTGATATTGAATACTTTTCTACACGATTGAATGTCCCGTTTGTGTTTTTTACCTGTTGGTATCTTCACTGGGTATCATAAAAACTTTGTTTTGTCCAAATTTTTAGACACATTTTTCTTCTATTAATCATCTCTTAGAGTTTGCTTCTTTATTATATTCTATTGCAAATGATGAGTGAGGAAGAAGAGCTTGCAAGCATGGAAGAGAAGGCCAGAAAAGAGAGATTACGAGGCTATCAATTCATTGAAATTTCTTGCTAGGAAAGAAACGTTTTCAGGAAGACTGCAAGACACATTATTGATGAGTAGTCACTGTATGTAATGACATACCACCTTGGGGCTGTAACCACATCAATGTTTCATCTTAAGAATTATTAGTTTGTCACTCTACTTAGTACCTTTTCAAAGGGTCCTGCTTCCAACACACTAACGGAAGAGTTAATACTCAGTACATTAAAATAAGGATTGTTGGTAATAATATCACCGATCTTATCATTAATATATGAAAACACCTTCAGGAAATGTGTCACGTATGGAATAACAGTTGTCATATTGTTCTTATGGAAAAAACTAAAGCAGCAAGAATTTAAGTGACTTTGAACAATAGAATTTTAGAGCCGGAAAACCTTAGAAGATACTTCTTAACCCCTTCATTTTATATCTGAGGGAACTGAGAACTCAGGGAAGTTATGATATGCCTAAGGTCACTCCAGTCAAGGTCGTTTTCTTCCCAATTAGACCATTTCTTGGGATCCTAATTTAAAACCAAGAGGCAATAACAGGGTCTTTATGACTTACAGTTCTATTGCAAAAGCCTTCAAGGGGAAAAAGCTTATAAAATTTTTTGTTCTTGATCAATTTTATTATTTTGTTCATTGAACATAAAACTATTTATTAGGCTTTCGTGAATTCATTCTCAACTTCAATCCCTTTAACTTGAATTTTCTTCTAAAGTCTTCTTTTTTTTAATGTTTGTTTATTTTTGAGAGAGAGGGAGAGAGAGACAGAGCAGGTGAGGGGTAGATAGAGAGGGAGACACAGAATCCGAAGCAGGCTCCAGGCTCTGAGCTGTCAGCACAGAACCATACGCGGGGCTCAAACTCATGAACTGTGAGATCGTGATCTGAGCCCAAGTCAGACATTTAACCGACTGAGCTACCCGGGCGCCCCTCTTCTAAAGTCTTCTATTTCTCAACTGTGAGGTAAAATAATCCTTGTGTTTGGAGACAGGATAAATGGCACTTAGCATAAAATCAACTAATTCTGGCAGAGGAGATCTTGCCTGCTCTGCCTCACACTCTGCCCTCTACCCAGGCTCTGCCACAGCAGCTTTCCTTCTGTTCCTAGGGGTTCTTCGACCTACAACCTTTGCACTAGCTGCTCCTTTGTCCTAGGAATGTGCTTCTCTAAATCCCTGCTCACGCACCATTAATTTCTTGAACCTTTTTGTTTGATGTATGATTTCTTAAGGTACAGAAACCGAATTATCGCAAAATGAATACACATGTGTCAACACAACCCAGGTGAAAAACAACATCATCAGGAGTCCGGAAGCCTTGCTTGTGTCTCTCATCATGACTTAACCTGCTGTAAAACGGGTCACTTTCTTGACTTCTACCACCATAGCTAAGCTACTTTTGAAGCTTATATAAAGTAGAATCCTATGCCTTGTATTACCCTGTTTCTGGTTTTTATCTGTGTCTCAATTCTTTATGCATTCTCATTGCTACATAACAATGTGGTATGAATACACCACAATTCATATGTTAGTCCTGCTATTGGTGGGCATTGGGGTTTCTAGTTTGGGGTTAGGCCAAATACGACGCGACTGTAAGCATTCTTTTGGTGACAACGCAGACCTTTCTCTGTTAGGTTGATAAAACCTAGCAGTGAAATTGCTGGGATATAAGGCGTGTATACGTTCACACTTACTAGACACTGCCACAGTGCTTTCCAAAATATCCCAGTTTAACCTCCCACCCGGCAGTAAGAATTTCCACTGTGCCACGCCCTCACCAATACTTAGCATTTAAGATCTCTTTATTTATTTTTTTTTTAAGTT